ATCATGATATTTTTGTATTGTGCCAATTCGAAATATGAACTGGTCAGTCAACTCATTGCAGATCATGTTAGTGCACCCATTATTGGCCCCGTTGAGAACGTAAGCGCGTACGATCGTTTGAATATAATGTGAAAAGCATTGAAGTACCTTTGTATTAGTGCATCCACACATTCTGCTCCCTAAGCCAACTCTAAAGGCAAAGTCAAAGTCAAAGTCAAGTCATTTTATATTTTTAAATTTCTGAATTTCAATGCAGTGTTTTATGTCACTTACTACTATCAAGTATCAACTATCGTGTTTTCTAGAATCTCGATAAAATAATATTTCTAAAATGAACAAAGATATGCATAACGATTGAAAATTATTCGTCTATCAATAACAAATATTTACTTATGCAGATAACTCATAATTGATGGAGACGGGATAAGATAATAATTGTACCAAGAAACTCGTCTTGCGCAAAAAAGGACTCAGAGTTTAGGAGAGAATTTTCGATAAAAAGATCTTATATGTACAGTGATAGGGCCGTCTAATCAATTGATGACTCGTGATCGTATGTGTAAAAATTAATACCTACTCCAATTCGTTTTCTTATTTATTACAAATCGCGCAGTCAAAATGACTACAAACGTTGTTAATAAATTTTAATCGATCAATTTATTAATGATCCAATAAAATGCATGTCTTCTTTACTTGAAACAACCTATGAATTGATGTCCAAAAAAAAAAAAAATATCAAATACCATAATTGTATAATTGTCGAGACAAAATAAAAACAGCCTAGGTGATTATTAATTGATAAAATAATAAAAGAAGTAACTACTATTTATTTAATTTAATAAATATGTCGATCAATTAAGTGGCAAAATAGTCTTTACCAATCTAATAAAAGAAGTAATTTAATGAATTTTGTTTTTACTCTACTAGTTCATACGAGTCTATATTATTCTTATAAAAAAATAAGCAAATTCAAAATTAAATTTTGTGAAAAGTAAGAGAGGAAACGATTACGCATCTTTAATTGTGTGGTCGATTCTATCACCGTGATTAGTCGATTCTATCACCGTGAGTAGTCGATTCTATCACCGTCCATACTGAACTATCCTACCCAAACTCTCTCTCTCTCTCTCTCTCTCTCTCTCTTTCCCACACATTACATGATTTTAAAAAAAAGCAACCCTAGAACTTTTTGCATTACAAAAAAGTAGAAATGAGTAATAAGTTGACATAAATTTCAAGAAGACACGAAGAACACTATATAGATAATTTACGAAGGTCTCCTTGGAATATAATATAAAGTTAATTTCATATTAGTTTATGTAGTTAATGAGAATTATACGAGAGTGCAAGGATTTTTCCATAATTTATTAGCTTCATGTTTATCGAACTATAAATTTAGCACGTTAAACTCCAATAACGGTAGATAAAAAAATATCAATTTATCAAAATTCTGCGATACAATCAATTCTTTGCCAACAACCATAGAAAAGTCCTTTTTTTTTTTGCACGATCAAAAAATTTGACAAACTTAATGTTAAAAGTTGTGTCCATTCGAAATGGCATTTTAGAAAAGTTGCTTCTAACTACTGGACACAAAAGTGTCGATACTATAGCATTCTTGGACTTAATTTTATGACTTCATCAATTCTACATGCAATTCTCTTCTCCGAGAGGTGAATGATGAAAAGCAGTTAAATGTGTATTTGAGCCTTTCTCCTTCGTTGATTCTAAAATCTTATGAGCTCTTCCATTAAAATTGAGAAACCTAAATTAATATTTTTAAAATTTAGCTTGGGTCAAAAAAAAAAAAAAACTAATGGTGTGTTTGGCGCACTAAATTATACCACATTAAGAATTTAGTATAAGCGGTACAGTTAAAGAAGTAAATTAAAGCCCCCCGGGGCACAACTCAACTGACAGAACAATCAGCACATAACTCGCTTCCAGCGATGGTGGGAGTTCAAATCCTGGTGGGAACCTGCGGCTAGATTTAGCAATCACTTTGGAGGATGATCCCTTGTGAGCAGAAGTGCACAGTTGGTGAGGGGAACTTGGGAACCAGTTGAGGCATATCTCGCGATTTACCTCCTCCAAGATTCTAGGGGCAAGAGTCAAAGTTGGAATACTTGGGTATAAAAAAAATGTAAATTAAAATTTAAGTCAAAATCAATAATTAATTTTAATGACACATTTAATGGGATTCATAATTTTTCAATTTCACATACTTATCTACTTTTATCAAAATATACTAAAAAACTAAATTTTATACAGTATTTCTTATAAAATCTAATACGTTGTGTCGAACAAAATTTTAATGCAATCATGTTATAGTGTCTTCGTTGTTGACAGATAGGTTGCCATAAAATCATGTGTCAATCCGACATTGGATAGTTTTAAATATTGTTATAATTTTTAGAGAGATGTTACTTGTAGAGGGGGAGACTGGTGGGTTTGTTGACAACCTCACATATGGGGTGAGTGAATAATTTTTTAATCACAGTAGGGTCGATCACTGTAAGTAGTTGTCGATCACTTCGGTCAACCACTTAGGTGCAAGTAGAATTATTATAATTTTTATCCAATTATTTACATCTATCTAAAAATCTGTCAACCTTTATGTCTCAATTCATTTGACTTAGTGGTTTAACTCAATAACGATTCTGTTACAAAAGTGTCCCCCTCTACACGGCAATTGGATTTCCGTACAACGTCCTTTATGTCTCAATTCATTTGACATAGTGGTTTAACTCAATAATGATTCTGTTACAAAAGTGTCCCCCTCTACACGGCAATTGGATTTCCGTACAACGTTTTTTTTCAGCTGTGCTATAATCACATCTTTTAACCTGGATGGAAAGTCGCGTTTATACACTACCATATTAAAAGTAATGTAATAGCATGACTTTTGTGTCAAATGTAGTTTGCACTTTTATCCAAACGTTGGATCCCGTGCAAATAATTATAATAATAATAATAATATTTTTTAATAGTGTAAAAAGAACAATCATGCTCGATATACACCAAGTTTGACAATTTGACAAACTGTCATTTGATAATTTAAAAAATATATATTTTCTCTAATAAATTTTTTTAAAAGGTTAATTCATTTGTACATAATGGATCACCTCCTATCACATAATGCGCGGGGTCTGCGTGTATTTAAAAATTTCGACAATATGGTCCTCATTCCCATTATAAGTAGTGGGTAAAAAATCGGGTAAAAAAATTTGATATAAGTAGTATGATCCAAATATATATATATATATATATGACAATTTCATTACATCAACAAGATTGATGATGTGAGATTTAACAAATGACAGTCATCATAAAGAGAATTGGGTAAGGGGATAAGAAGCTCTAAAATGATAAGTCTGAAAGTGCAGGATCTAATTTAGAGTGAATGGGCCAATCTGGACAAATGAGAAAACGTTTGGATTCGAGGTGAATATAACAACACAAGCCAGACAATCCCATTTTTTTTTTTTTGGCTAGAATTCAGTGTCAAGGAAAAGACTCTAAGACTTGGGCTTCCGTGCATCCGATTGCCTCTTATGATGCACGGTATCCAAGATGAGTCACGTAGTTCTGCTTCTCTTGCTAGTTAGAAATGAGCAGAGCGTTGTAGGAAGGAGAAATCAGTTAAACATGTCATGTTCAGTTTAATTGTGCTGCTAGAATTATCCTTCAATGTACTGACATCCGCCTACAGCGAAAGCAGCCATGAATAGGAGGAAGATAGTAAAGTCGCCTTAGAGCATTTTTCTCATCTTGATGGGGAGGCTACGAACTGTCTTGAAAACGTTAAATAAAAATAAATGGCGATCGTTATTTATATCAGGTAACCAATTTAAGAAAAAGGTAATGGAGTGATTAAAATAAAACTTTTTAGTCTATTCATCGGTTATGTGGAGCACTAAAATTGCTATGAAGCCCCTGTTTGGCCACCATTAGGGGCCGACCCGAGGGGGTCCTGAGGGGCACGTGCCCCCCTCCCCAACTTTTGAAATTTTTTATTTTTATTTTTTATAAAATTATGTTTGATATCGACTGAAATCTAAATTTTAATTTAAATCAAAGTTAACAATTAATTCTAATAACATATTTTATAGAATCCATAACTATTTAACTTTTATTAAAATTTACTAAGAATTTGATTTTAATTTTCACCAAATAGAGGCAAAATTACAATTGAATTTAGATAACAAGTTAATTTTAAAAATTCTTTAACAATCGTACGTTAATCGAATTTACAAATTGCTTATGTCATCTTAAAATTTATTTCGAGAATTACATTATGGACATATCGAATAGTCCAAACAGATATTGAAAATAGTTAAAAATACGCTAAACATGAGTTTTAAAGAAAGACGTCGAACTCGTTTTTTTAATTGATTATTTCATTAACATTTATTATTTTTGTGACTCAAATTTCTCAATATAATTTTCATCATTTTATATGGAATATAATATCAAAAAATTTCGAAATTTTACTTTCATCATTTTATTAGGAAATTTTGTATGGAATATGTCATTAAAAAATTTCAAAATTTTATTTCCAAAAAAAGTCATATTTCATATAAATTTTCGAATGCAAAATTACATAAGGGTATGATTTTTTGGACGTAAATTTTCGATTGTAAAATTTCTTCAAACTTCTTTAGAAGTTCGATTGTGCCCCTAACTTTAAGCTTCTGCGTTCGCTCTTGGCCAACATTATTCTCTATTAATTATAATTTATTTTTCTCTATTTTCACAAGCTACACATTTTTTATAAAATAATATTATATGTAAATTTAAATCCTTCTTTTTTTAATAACACAATTTTTTAAAAGATGTTTTTTTATTATTATTATTATAATGTGAAATAATGAAAGCGCGGATGCTAAAAGTAGAAACTATAATTAGACAAAAAACGTGGCCACATATTTCAACATAACCGTTCAAACTTTGCTTCCAATCACCAACTCAAAGGGAGGTTCCGAAGAAGGAAATTATCAATGGAAGACGAAGTTTCATCGTAAGTGAAACACTTCAAATTTCCTAGTCCAATTTGACTTGAGAATTTTCTATGTATCCATTCAAAATTATTTCAAATCTTTCGCAGGTTTGAGTCAAGTGAAATGTTGGCAACATTTCTGGCCTCAACGCCGTTGCTCGAGGAGTCATGGAAGCTTTGCCGCCACGCCAACGCCTCCACGGTGCAGGATTTCATCTGGAATCGAGTGGGGGACGTGACATACGTTGCCTTTCCGGGGCTTCAAAACGTCGGATCGGATTCCTGTACCAGAGAATTGGTGGCGCTGGGAACGGCGGCTGAGGGAGTTTTTACCGCGTTTGATCGTCACGTCGTTGAAAGCGAAGAACCGCCCATGGTTCATATTGGATTGCTGCAACTCTTCCTGTCTCTGTACAACACCCAAACTTTCCGAGCTAAGGTCAGTGTTTTCGTTTATGAAATTATTATTATTTTTCAATATAAATCAGACTTTCGTGAGTAACAAATTATAATTATTTAGCTTTGGTAATCGCACCAACTACGAATTGATAAAAATATCACATAAATTTTGATGGTGATAAAGTATCTATTAGATATATTGATTTTAGGCCCAATATAGAAATGTTATAATAAAAATCAATGATTACTAATTAGAAGGAAAAAACCTAGCTTTTTCAGTCTAAAATCAATACCAAATTCATTTCACAAGAAGTAATGGTCACCAGTTCGAGTCTTCGATCAGAACCACTGAAGTGAATATCCGTTCGTAAATTTCAGGGTCTCGTGAGATTAATTAAGGTGAGCACAAGTTGGCTCGAACATCCCGATTTCCAAAAATTCATGTCACGAGAAGTAAAAAAATAGAATAATGCTATCAGGAATAGCGCCGAGCACTGGTTTATATGATATTTTTTGAAATGTTCTATTAAAAGTGAAATTACATGATTCATTTAATATCACCAGTCTCTTGTTTTTGACTCACTCCGAACTTTTCAATCTATGTGGCTAAATTTCAAAATTAAAGTCCGATAAGGATAGCCACCCGCAAACTACTGCCAAAATTTATATCAATTCGTGTTTATATTCTAAACTCTCAAGGATGAACAAGTACAAATGTGGCAGATATTCTTATCACTATCTGAAATAGGAACGCGTTTAGCCCTATGTGATATTTTTCTCTTTTTTTTTTTTTTTTATTGCAATCAAATATTTTTTAATAAAATAATATTACATGCAAATTTAATTTTTTTCCTTAATTTTTAATCGTACATTATCTGTCAATTTACTATTTCAAAATGCATTCTTACCATAAAAAGGGAAAACAAACAGGAACATCAACAAACATCTCACTTATCTCATTGTCTTAATCCAATTTAGTTTGATGCAATAAACGTGGTTTTATTAAAAAGGATCATCATATTCTCAACTGCAAAGTGAGGGACACGGAGGACACACTTCGTATGCCATGTTCAATGAATCTAATCATGAATCCCATATAATCTTGGTGGGGCAACCTAATTTGTTGCATTTGCATCTTATCGCATCAAGCTTGCCTTTTCACACATATAAAGTTTTTCATAGTGATTTTGATATGATTTTGATAGTGTGTCATCAGTAGTGTTCTAAAAAGTTCGTGTAAGTGGTATTTAGTGCTTCGCGTCTAAACTTTTTTCTTTCCTATTCATAAATGGTTGAATTTTTTTTACTTCCTCTCTTTCCTCTTTCCTATGCGGGCTTTATTAATTTTTTGTTTTTTAAATTTTTTATTTGACTTTAGCTTATTAATTTTTTATTTTTAAAAAAACTTTTTATTTGACTTTAATTTCAAATTTTTAAAGATTTTATCTGTATAAAAGTTAAAAATGACTTTATCTAAATAGTTAAATAAGATTTAAGTTATGATACTATTTATATTATGTAATTATGATCTTGAGACTCGTTATTTTGTTACAAACTTCAAAAACACGTATGACGTTCCTATGAATCTATTAAGTATGACTTGTCCAGTAGAAAATTGAAAGTATGGAAAATATCTCAATTTTTTTTACATTTTGAAAACTTGAAAATTGTATAATTAATTAATTAATGGTAGGAGTTATTAATTAAATATAGTATTTTATAATTTTAAATGTTTGATATATATTATTTTAATTATTAAATGATTAAAAATTTAAAATAATATTAAAAATAAGAAAACGCTTTTTTTTACACCTACGTCTCGTCTAAACTCGTAAAGTTTGACTTACTATTGGTGCATAAGATTCGTTTTATAGTAATTGTGTATCTAACACAAATTTTCAAGGTACAGAGGCCTTTTGGTCTTTTGTTTGAGCCTTTTGTTGATAAGAATTCGAATGATGTGCCAAGCAACCTAATTTATTCGCGTGGTTTTGTCGTTTTCAATACGCGTGGTTGCTAAAAGATTGTCCTTAAGCGAAAGACTACAATGTGTAGCTAGGCTGATTGATTATTTAACAAAAATATAAAATTGAATTAATTAAAATTCGTAATTTGACTAGTCAAAAAACACTTATCGTGTGTGTTGGTGTTGGATGTCTTGTATGGCTGCCGAACATTTTGATTGGTCTTTTCACGTATTTTTTCTTTTCGGAAAATGTCATTTTGTCAGAATAAAATTGACACTTTTGTTCAGATCATCACACATTTGTGATAGAATAATGCTAAGTGTACACAATCTTTTAAACAATTTTTTACACCCGCCTCACATGGAAGGGAGCCAACACATAATAAAATAATTGTGGACCCCCTCCATATGAGAGAGGTGTAAAAGATTGTGTAAAAGTGTGTGTACATGTAGCATTACCCTTTGTGATAGGACCCATGCGGGACCCATATGAATTAAAAAAGAAAAAAAAAATCCCCCTCCACCACAATTGTGAGTGGCTCCCGGCAGCCCAGCATTATTAATGATATCACTTTCTTGGGGACCAGAAGAAAATATTGGAAGAATCTAGGAGAGCGAAACACCTCACTTTTTTGAATTTAAAATAGAATCAGAATTGAAATTGAAGAAATGTTGTATGGTTCAAACGATAATTATCTAAATTGGACTACTTTTATCACTTAGGCCTTGTTTGTTTCGACTTAAAATAAGATTTTAATCTAAATCAAAGTCAAATAATTAATATTAACCACATCTTTTATGGTCTCACAGCTTTTTAATCGCACATTTCAAAAACTTCTATCACAATCTACTAAAAATACTAAAAATCTAATTTTAATCTCCACCAAACACCCTCTACTAGACATGTGGAACCCATGAAAAATGTGATTAATATTGATCGTTTGGCTTTGATTAAAATCAGATTTTAATTTGTACCAAACATGCCCTTAATAAGAAAACTTGACAGTCTACTAGGCAAAAAAAAGATCTAAAATTATTAAAAAAAAGAAAAAATTGTTCCCCGATGAATGATGTATATCAAGCTAGTATATCACCATGGTGAGTTATATAGTCCTGCAAAGTGGCCATTAATCGTAGCTGCAATACTAGGGATTGGAAGTTTACCTAGACACTGAGATGGATTAAACTGGAATCTCGTACCATTAAGAAACGTTAGATGGAACAATTACTCAAGTTTTATTATTACTTCAAAAATTTCTGGTCAATTATCTTCTTATGTCTATTGTTTCTAGCTTACAGATTGGCTTCTGGTAAACTATGAAACATTATGAAAGACATTGAACTTTAGAGACTTTATACAAATGATTTTTTCCTAGTAACGTTGTTGTGTGACTGCAGATGACAGAAATCATGAACGAAAGCAAATCGATTGTTTTCACGGGCCACTCCATGGGAGGATCGCTTGCCTCGCTCTCAGCCCTTTGGCTTCTCTCTTGTCTAGGAAACACTTCACTCTCCACAGCAATTTTTTGCATCACCTTTGGCGCACCTATGCTAGGAAACGAATCCCTTTCCCGAGCCATCCTCCATGAAAGGTGGGGTGGAAACTTTTACCATGTCGTGGCACAGCATGACATTGTACCAAGGCTGCTCTTTGCACCAACTATTCCATTTATTGTGGAGTTGCATGCCTTCTTCAAATCCCTGCAGTTTTCACTAACAACCCCGTACTATGAACAGCTAGCTGTCCAATTGTCCGATGAGAACAAAGCTGAACTATTTCGTACAGTGTTGGCCTGTCTTGAAGCAAGTTCAAGAGCATTAAATAATCAGGAAAGAGTACCCTTTTGGCCATTCGGGAGCTTCATGTTCTGTACAGACAAGGGATCAATTTGCGTGGACAATGCCACGGCTATTGTTAAGTTGCTTTACTTGATGCTAGCAACAGGTTCGCCTAGTTCCTGTATAGAGGATCATCTCAAGTATGATGAGTATGTGACGAGAGCTTGCTGGCAGTATTTGATGAAAACAAGCTTCATGGAAGGCAGTTCGACTGAATCGAGCTATGAAGCAGGGGTTGCATTGGCTTTGAATTCAGCAGGAATAAGTTCCCATGTAAAGTCAAAATACGACATGGTCCCTTGTTTACCATTACCACTGAAATTCGTCGTGTTCCAATTAGTCAGTGAGTTTATTTCAAGTTGATTACTGCACTTAAAACTTTGTTATTATTTGGTCAGCATATCAATATCCCTTGATTTGACAACAGAAAAGCTGTCGTGACAGTCCTGCTAGTAAATAACTAGATTGTCAGGTTAACTTTTCTGTTCGTCAAACTTGACCAACAGATATTGACTGAGTGATCTTGTAACAAAGTTTAACTTCAGTAAACAATTTAAAATGAAATGCAGTTCAGTGAGTAGCATGAAATTTCGCTAAGAGTAGCGCATATAACCCTCCCGTAATTTAGGCCTACTAATGATAGGACTGAGGGGAAAATCTTTTCTAACTAGTTTTCTTCCTGGTGTTCTCACAGGAACCAGCTTATGGACTCGCAAAAGATTGCCTCAAAATGGCAAAGCAAGTAGGTTGTAGACGCAACATTAACAATGCTAAGCTCGCTGTTGATTTATCAAAAATCACGCCACTTAGAGCTCAGATCGAGTGGTACCAAAAATTTTGCGATGATTCTGATGATCAGATGGGATACTATGATTCATTCAAGCAGAGAAGTGCTTCAAAGAAAGGCAGCAAAGTTAATATGAACCGTTGTAGGCTCGCACTGTTTTGGGATAAAGTGATCGAAATGCTGGAAACAAATCAACTTCCTTATGATTTTGATAAGCAACCAAAGTACGTGAATGCTTCTCAATTCTACAAACTCCTTGTCGAACCTCTGGAAATTGCTGAATATTATAGAACTGGGATGCACAAGATGAAAGGCCACTATATTGAGCAAGGCAGGGAAAAAAGGTTTCAGATATTTGACAAATGGTGGAAAGACAGAAAAGTCGGTGAGGAAGAAAACAGTCCGCGGAGCAAACTTGCCAGTTTAACACAAGATTCGTGCTTTTGGGCAAGAGTAGAGGAAGCAAGAGAATGTATTTATGAGGTTGCATCTGAAATGGACATGGGAAGGAATTTGCTATTGCGGGAGAAAATCGAAAGGTTTGAACAGTATGCCAGCCGAATGATTGACAGGAAGGAAGTGTCCAAAGATGTTATAGCCAAAAACTCAAGCTACAATTTGTTTGTGGGAGAATGGAGAGAACTGAAATCTCATGCGCAGCCATGTCCATTTCAGTTTCCTAGTCTTCAAGATGGGGGGAATATGGTTCCTTAGAATAATGTATGAAAATAAAACCTTTTTCATCTTCTTTCAAGGTGGAAAAGTGATTCAGTGCAGGAATAAGTCTTTTAGTGCAATTCTAATGATATCAGTTAATGAAATGGCTTGTACAACACTGCCTGTTCTAAAAGTTCAAATCATTAGAAAGATGTATGTTGCTTTATATGACTTGCCTTTAATAAGTTTCCTAACGTGAATGACCCGTGACATTTTCATGACGCCGGAATTTTGACCATGCCAGCAATGAAGTCCATTTTGTCTGCAAGCCCTGTACAACACCATATATGCATGGCATTACAAAGGATGACAAAAAAGCTCATTGACGAGACGAGCCCCATTTTGTCGGGCCGGCCCGTAATTAATAAAAAAAATTTAAAAGCTGCCTAGAAAGAAAAAAATAAAAAATTAATTAAAAATTGAGTCGGCTCAGCCTGTCAAAGCTGGGGTCGAGCCTTTTTTTTTTGCCGGGCTCAGCTAGGCTCGGGCCCGAAAAAAGCTCGACCAAAAAATCTCGAGCCGAGCCAGAGCTTTTTTTTTCGGCTCGGCTCGTTTCGTTGACATAGCTAGGCATTAATCTATGAGATTTTAAAATACGATTTTGTTGTTAAATTTAGCATCCATCGTATAGGTGGCATATCTACCGAGATATAACATGTCGAATTGTTGTCAACTTTTAACTTTCATGTGGCATATCCAATTGAGATTCACTGAAAGTTGAGTGACTAAATTTGAAATTAATTTGGTTAGATTTACTGAAAGTTGAGTGACTAAATATGAAATTGACTTGGTTAAATGGCCACAACAGAGGCCGTCGCTAGTAGGGGTGGGCGTGAGTTGGGTCGGGTTGGGTCGGTTTTTCATATTTAGTCACTCAACTTTCAGTAAATCTAACCAAATTAATTTCATATTTAGTCACTCAACTTTCAGTGAATCTCAATTGGATATGCCACATGAAAGTTAAAAGTTGACAACAATTCGACATGTCTTACATATCTCGGTTTGGACAAAAGCGTAATTTATTACCATATATTCAAATAAAACCAATACGTCATCCAAATAAGATTAATATTTAATGCAACGTACATCCATTAGAATAAAACGTCACCCAAATACAATTAATACATCCATCCACTGAGTAAATATTGCATCTCAAAATTAATTTAGTAAACTTGTGGCACGACAGCCGAGAAGAAGAGCTTCCATCCACTGCAAAAGAGCTGCCAGCTTACAACTCAAAAGAGTTGCCATCCACTGTCTGCAATCTCCAAATAAATCCCAACAAAAAATAGCAACGGTTGATTCTAAACTGCACAAGTAAACAAATCACATAAAATGAAAATGATGGAAGCTTGATTTGTCTGCATAAATAGTAGAAAACTTGATTCACTTAAATTAAAGAATTTCCATCTTGTGTGCAAGTATATATCCAAGATCAATGTGTGTTGTTATATTTTGGATTCACTTAAATTAAACATGTCCTTAGAAATGAAACCTGTCACTTAAATTAAACCCGTCCTTAGAAGTTTTCAATGAAGAAACTCACCTTTAGAAATGCAGTTCTTATTAGTCTTGTGCAGTAATTAAATACTGATGGTAACATAAATAGTAGAAAACTTGATGTGATATGAAGTAAAGCTAGTAATGGAATAATGAGGTTCCAGACACCTCTTTTAAAACATATAGTTTGTCTATTGAAGCTGCCAATCTTCAGAGATTCTAAAAACACATAGCATAACACAGTGATTCCAATTAAAAGAATTAAAAGAAGAAATGATTTTAATAAGACTAGATACATAATGTTTTTTATTTGCAAACACAGCAGAAATACCAATTATGATCAATAACATAAAACAACAAAAGATAAACAACGTACATTAGCATCTCAACAAAATTGATTTACATTGTATGACAAGAATATTTCTGTAAAATGCAAACATAAAATAATCAATAATCAATAAACACAATTGCAACTAGAAAATTAGTACCCCAGGATGGCTTCTTGTACTGTGATCTTTTCCTAGGAGGTTGCTGTCTATATATATATATCCCAATTATGCCGCATAAAACGTTCCATGATCGTAGCTCCAAAAATTCTAGAACAAATTTGAAGAAAGAACGAACAAGAAAATTCGAGGGAAAAAAAAAACCAGGAAGAGGATTTACAGTATAGCCAGCCGAATGATATGCTGCATTATCATAGATTTCATATGCCAAAACATGGTCTTCAATTTCATCAACAAAACTAAATCTACAGTTTCTTCAGCTCTCCAGAGTCTTCATCCTCTGCTTAGTGTGGGAACTAGAAGGAGGAAGAGATGATAGATTTAGATGATAGATTTGTTGCCTAATCTTCAAGTGTTGAAAGATTAGGGCTTGAGTGTGCGGCAGGGACCGAGAGACGGGAGTAGATGGAAAACAAAAGAAATGAAAATGAAAATTCTAGAGCTTCTCTCTTTCCCAGTTTCCCTTTTTATCTTTAGTGTTTTTTTTTTTATTATTTTTTATGTTGGTCAGGTTGGGTTGGTTTGGGTTTTATCGGGTTATCTTACTTAACCCACAACCCGACTCGATAGTGTAACCCACTACCCGAAACCCGTCTAAAAACACCAAAAAACCGACCCAACCCGGTCAAGTTGGATTGGATCGGTCGATTTTCGTGGGTTGGATTGGGTTTTGCCCGCCTCTAGTCGCTAGAAAGACGTCACTCCTCTTATTCAAGCCAACATAATTAGATCCATGGACGTGCTTCGGTAAATTAGCCTAATTTGGACCTGAGTAATTTAAAATGGGAAAATTGATAAGTACAATGTTATATATGAAAATGAAGTAAAAAATCTATTATAAAACTTAAGGAACAAAAGAGAAATATAAGAGAAGAAACAGAGACTCGAAAACTCAATTATTTAATTTATTGAGAACCAATGCTCCGTATTTATAGGATTCAAATTGAGAATTACAATCGGAGTAAAATAATTTTATTCTAGAGTGGATAGAACTCATCTAATTAGTGTCATAAGACCAAAATTCTTAATAATTATTCCACAATTTTAGATCACTTCCCATTTGGTGATTATTTGTACAAATAATTGTCTCGTTAAAAACTTTGTTCAATAAGAATCCAATGGAAAAAAAAAAAATCAAAGGTAAAAAAGGTACAGTTAATTTTTTAAAATTTTGGAGTATAAAGAAAATTATGTCTCATTAAAACCCTGTCATGAAAACTTAGTGGAACAAAACTTAAACTTAGAAAAAAGAGTACAACTACTCCCCTTAATTTTAATCAATAAGGATTTTTGAATTAGCGCATTCCAATCTCATGTGCCAATTTCTTGAATGCAGATGTCGGCAATGCTTTTGTGAATAAATCAGCCACATGTTCTGAATTTTTTTAACATCGATATCGTCATTCTTCTAAAACTCATATGTATAAAAGAATTTTAGAAAAATATATTTCGACATGTCCCCTTTGATATAACTCAATACAAACTGCATTGTTTTCATATAAAATTGTTAGATTATCTTTTATTGAAATTAATTTGCATAATACTTGGATATGATGGGTTATGTTCCTCAACCATACATATTGTCAACTTGCTTCATCGATTGCAATAATTTCAAAATGATTTGAAAATGTTGCTACAGACGTTTGCTTCATCAATCTCCATGATATAGATATTTCTCCACCTGCAAATACATATCATGTTTGCGATTTAATTTTATGTGGATCAAAAGGGTAACACGCATCTACATATCCTACTAAAAAAATCACGACTTTTAAGAATAAAATAATTCCAAATTAATAATATCTCTTAGGAAATGAAAAGAAGTGTTTAACACCATTTAAATATCTTTGAGTTGATGTAAAACTATGTTCATGTTTGGTAGAAATTAAAATTTAGATTTTAATCTGAGTTAAATTTAACAACTAATTTTAATCACACATTTATGTGACATAAAACTTTTTAACCACATATTTCATCAAATTTTATTAAAATTTACTAAAAATCTGATTTTAATTTAATTTCCATTAAACAAGGGTTATATATTGTAAAGAGATTTATAGAAAGAATTATATTAGGTCAAGTACAATTTTTAAGGTAGGTCCAACTACATTAAGATATGATACATCGGGATCAATAATCTTTTCTCCATTTTCAAGTTGATGAAATCGATCTTTTTTTTACATCTAGTAATCGAAAACATTATTGGTGATGTAAATGGATATGTTTTATCTATATTAAAAAAAAAACCGTTTTAAAATTTTTGTATATGGACATTGTTGAACATATAATCATTCTCATAAATGTTCAATCTGTAATTTAATGCAAAATTTGATTTTTCCTAAATCTTACATTTCAATTTCATTTTTCAAATAATTTGCAATTTTGTTGAACACTTCAAGAGTTTAATAAGATTTAAACCATCAACATAAATAGTCATAATCATAAATCTAATATTCATTTTTATATTCCTCCTTCAACAAATATTTGTTAAGGAGATTATACCACATGCATTCTGATTGTTTCAATTTGTATAATGATCGTTGCCATTTAATTGAAAATATAGTTATGAGGCACGTATCATTTATTCCCGACACTTTTAGTTTTTCGAGGGTTTTCATGTATATATCACCATATATCAGTTATTACATTAATAAAGTGCATGTCGAACTTTTATGAGACAATCATACTTTTTAAAAATCTAAAAGTGATGGTGTGCATTAGGAGAATATGTTTCCTCAAAATTGATCTCAAAGCTTTGTAAAAAACCTTGTGTTACAAGTCGGACTTTGTATCGTGTAATTTCATTGTTTTCATTTATCTTCCTTACAAAAATTCATTTGTACCCTACAAAGATTATATTTTTGGGGTTCAAACTACATGACTAAATACTTTTCTTTTATTTAAGGAATTCAATTCCGTTTGTATAACTTCTTTCCATTTTGGTCAATTGTTTCTACATTAACAGTTTTTAATTCAAGATTATTTTTTTTA